AAACATAAGCCCTCTTCTACATGATCTATCTGCTCTCTCTCACCCCGTTCTGCATCTCCATTTGAGTGAGGAGCGGAGAGGATATGATAAGCAGCAGTGTATTCTCTTTCTTTTTCTCTCTGGGCGCTAGTCTAATCAATGACATTAAAGCATTTCTCCGTTCTGTCTCGGAGACCTCCACCTTCGTCCTGACAAAGGGGAGCAACCAACATTTGTCTGCCTGAGATAAGGTTCCTGGAAGCAGCCAGTGAGGTGTCTGTCTTCCTCTGCTATTGGCTTATGCAAATTAGACACCCTGGGAACTCAAATACCATCCTGGTGGAGGAACAAGAGTGGTCGCTACCTCCATTTCCTCCTATTTAAAACAATAAGGCTAAACAGGGAGATCTGAGCTGCCACTGGAAAGTGTGTTGACAATGTAGAATGACCAGGCTGATTTGTGTGCCAGAAACACACGCACACACGCACACACACACGCACACGCACACACTTTCCAATGTGTCTGAGGAGAGCCTCTGTCATCCTTCCTGAGAGGAGTCACCTTCCCTAGCTTCCCTTCCTTCAAGCAGCCATCATGGGCCGGTACAGACAGTCTTGTTTTTTTTAGCTGAAAAGGCTTTTAACTCCAAAAAATGGTGTTAGGTTGACCAGTCCTGATATAAACAAGCCTAATTACAGCGGCTCAACCCAATATCTGTTATACGGAAGTTTTTTTAATTACCGTATTTTCCGCACTATAAGGCGCACCGGAGTATAAGCCGCAGCAGCTAAATTGAATGATATTGAATGATGCGTACATATACAGTGGGGGGAAAAAGTATTTAGTCAGCCACCAATTGTGCAAGTTCTCCCACTTAAAAAGATGAGAGAGGCCTGTAATTTTCATCATAGGTACACGTCAACTATGACAGACAAAATGAGAAAAAAAAATCCAGAAAATCACATTGTAGGATTTTTTATGAATTGATTTGCAAATTACGGTGGAAAATAAGTATTTGGTCAATAACAAAAGTTTCTCAATACTTTGTTATATACCCTTTGTTGGCAATGACACAGGTCAAACATTTTCTGTAAGTCTTCACAAGGTTTTCACACACTGTTGCTGGTATTTTGGCCCATTCCTCCATGCAGATCTCCTCTAGAGCAGTGATGTTTTGGGGCTGTCGCTGGGCAACACGGACTTTCAACTCCCTCCAAAGATTTTCTATGGGGTTGAGATCTGGAGACTGGCTAGGAAACTCCAGGACCTTGAAATGCTTCTTACGAAGCCACTCCTTCGTTGCCCGGGCAGTGTGTTTGGGATCATTGTCATGCTGAAAGACCCAGCCACGTTTCATCTTCAATGCCTTTGCTGATGAAAGGAGGTTTTCACTCAATATCTCACGATACATGGCCCCATTCATTCTTTCCTTTACACGGATCAGTCGTCCTGGTCCCTTTGCAGAAAAACAGCCCCAAAGCATGATGTTTCCACCCCCATGCTTCACAGTAGGTATGGTGTTCTTTGGATGCAACTCGGCATTCTTTGTCCTCCAAACACGACGAGTTGAGTTTTTACCAAAAAGTTCTATTTTGGTTTCATCTGACCATATGACATTCTCCCAATCCTCTTCTGGATCATCCAAATGCACTCTAGCAAACTTCAGACGGGCCTGGACATGTACTGGCTTAAGCAGGGGGACACGTCTGGCACTGCAGGATTTGAGTCCCTGGCGGTGTAGTGTGTTACTGATGGTAGGCTTTGTTACTTTGGTCCCAGCTCCCTGCAGGTCATTCACTAGGTCCCCCTGTGTGGTTCTGGGATTTTTGCTCACCGTTCTTGTGATCATTTTGACCCCACAGGGTGAGATCTTGCGTGGAGCCCCAGATCGAGGGAGATTATCAGTGGTCTTGTATGTCTTCCATTTCCTAATAATTGCTCCCACATTTGATTTCTTCAAACCAAGCTGCTTACCTATTGCAGATTCAGTCTTCCCAGCCTGGTGCAGGTCTACAATTTTGTTTCTGGTGTCCTTTGACAGCTCTTTGGTCTTGGCCATAGTGGAGTTTGGAGTGTGACTGTTTGAGGTTGTGGACAGGTGTCTTTTATACTGATAACAAGTTCAAACAGGTGCCATTAATACAGGTAACAAGTGGAGGACAGAGGAGCCTCTTAAAGAAGAAGTTACAGGTCTGTGAGAGCCAGAAATCTTGCTTGTTTGTAGGTGACCAAATACTTATTTTCCACCATAATTTGCAAATAAATTCATTAAAAATCCTACAATGTGATTTTCTGGAAAACATTTTCTCAATTTGTCTGTCATAGTTGACGTGTACCTATGATGAAAATTACAGGCCTCTCTCATCTTTTTAAGTGGGAGAACTTGCACAATTGGTGGCTGACTAAATACTTTTTTTCCCCACTGTATAAGCCGCACTGGACTATAAGCCGCAGGTGTTTTAATGTTTAATTACCATATGTAAGGGTTCGTGCACAGAGGGGATTGTCGGGAAAGAGACAAACTGTCTCGCTCTCGTAATGTCTGTCTGTCTTGCTCTCGTTCTGTCTCTCGTTCTGTCTCTTGTACCACTCTCGGTTCCACTTTTACTTTTGCGCGCTACCTGTCTCACTCTTTTCCGGCCTCCAGCTTTTCCTGCTGGAGCCCGCCGCTTAAAAGGTGGGGGGCGCGGACCGGTCATAGAGCCCATAGAGTTAAAGTTGGTGGACTGTAACCTGTAAAATCCATAGATTTAGGAGGTCTTCTAGTGGCCGTTAGCTGTAAAAATCCATAGATTAGCCGCACCGTTATATAAGCCGCAGGGTCGAAAAATTTGAAAAAAGGCGCGGCTTATAGTCCGAAAATTACGGTACAAAAAGACTCAATAATGCAACCATGTTGGAGGGGTTCAGTTGACTGAAGCCTTTGGCAGCCGCCGAGAAGGATAAAGATGACAGATTGCATTTTGGCTGAGTCAATCGTGCATGTCTTTTTAGTGATTTAATTTAATATGTTATCAAAACAGACAGTTTAGTCATGTCACTGCGGCAGATGTTTTCAAGCAGATAGAACATATTTTCATTATTTAATGGAGTAAGAGCAGGGTTTTCTGTAGTGAGGTGCAGAATCGATGTCGAGGGTTGCATGTCAGCAGTCTCCAACACCTCGGCCCAGACTGAAGTAGGTCCTGGAACTGTGTGTGAGTGGTTGGGCTGAGCAACGCACGGCGGTGTGGGGAGATGGGTTTTCATTGTAGTGGTTAATGAGGCGTGGGTGCTAGGCCGGATACAGAGCCACTCCCTGGCCGCCTCCCTGGCCGCCTGCAGCACTGGAGCTGAGGCAGCAGAGCACTGGGCCCTGACACACACAGAGAATATTCTGGACTGAGACACAGACACAGCCTAAGATATAGAGATATAGAGACACCTCCTGGGATACAGAGAACAGCCTGAGATACAAACATAGCTAGGCTTGGGCGATTTACTGCTTATACAGTATACCGGGGGTATGATTTTCAATACGGTATGATTTTCAATATCCCGCGTAGACGTAGCACGCCTCGCAGGGGTGCGTGCTACACCACTGTTTATAAATATAAGTTAAGTATAACTATAAGAAATCTAAGATGTGTCAAATAAATGATATCCAGCTCAGGGCTCCAGCTTTGCATTTGGACTGCTAACTTGCTAGCTAAGTGGCTAGATGTCAAGATCAAGCTTCTTGGTTACAAGATCCCTGTTGCCTAATAAAAACAAACAAACAAAATGTTATAGCGCCCCTTGTGTGCACTTCCGGTAATACCGTATACCTCAATATGGTACAGAAACAGTATGACGGTATGAAAACCTGGATACCGCCCAACCCTAGACACAACCTGGGACACACAGACACAGCCTGGGATACAGAGACACAGCCTGGGATACAGAGACACAGCCTGGGATACAGAGACACAGCCTGGGATACAGAGACACAGCCTGGGATACAGAGACACAGCCTGGGATACAGAGACACAGCCTGGGATACAGAGACTCCGCCTGGGATACAGAGACACAGCCTGGGATACAGAGACACAGCATGGGATACAGAGACTCAGCCTGGGATATAGAGACACAGCCTGGGATACAGAGACACAGCCTGGGATACAGAGACACAGCCTGGGATACAGAGACACAGCCTGGGATACAGAGACACAGCCTGGGATACAGAGACACAGCCTGGGATACAGAGACACAGGCTGGGATACAGAGACACAGGCTGGGATACAGAGACTCAGCCTGGGATACAGAGACTCAGCATGGGATACAGAGACTCAGCCTGGGATATAGAGACACAGCCTGGGATACAGAGACACAGCCTGGGATACAGAGACACAGCCTGGGATACAGAGACACAGCCTGGGATACAGAGACACAGCCTGGGATACAGAGACACAGGCTGGGATACAGAGACACAGCCTGGGATACAGAGACTCAGCCTGGGATACAGAGACACAGCCTGGGATACAGAGACACAGCATGGGATACAGAGACTCAGCCTGGGATATAGAGACACAGCCTGGGATACAGAGACACATCCTGGGATACAGAGACACAGCCTGGGATACAGAGACACAGCCTGGGATACAGAGACACAGCCTAGGATACAGAGACACAGCCTGGGATACAGAGACACAGCCTGGGATACAGAGACAAAGCCTGGGATACAGAGACTCAGTGGAGGTACAGAGACAGACAGCACTGGGCTCTCATACAGAGATGGATGGAAAGAGAAGAAGACCTAAACATGATTTGAGCAAAACACGGCCCTAAAAGCTGAGGGAGACTTGTGACAAACACACATTACTGCTGTCAGACAGCAAGGAAATAGGACATGTTTTTGATGGGGCTGTTGTCAACCATTATAACCAATCTGTTTTCATGTGATTTCAAACCACTAGCCATCCATAATAACAGCCCTTCTGTTCTGTGTGTATGGCAGGCAGCACTTGAGAATACTGAAAGCTACACCAGCACAGAGCTGTTTTCAACACTTGTGGGATTGCCTTGACAAGTGGCTGCCAAGCTGCAGAACCAAATCAGAGCAGCGAAGCCTGGAATTCATGCATGCAAATTACATGGAGGGGCTTGAAGAAAAGAGAGGCTGTTCTGCCCATGGTGATGATTCTCTTTCGCTGACTCTTTCTCTCTCTTTCTCTCTCCCCCACTCTTTCTCTTTCTCTCCAGTGGTTCCACCAGCAATTTGTGTCTGTGTGATTGATTAACACCTACTTCAAACCAGAGGTGGGACCAAGTCACTATTATTCAAGTCACAAGCAAGTCTTAAGTCACAAGGTCAGAGTTTCAAGTCGAGTCCCAAATAGAACGGGTCAAGTCCAATTCATGCATTTGAAGAACAAGTCAAGTCGAGTCGAGTCACAAGTTTTCAAGTCAAGTCTGAAGTCAAGTAAAAAAAACATCTATGCAACGACTTGTTCAACTACAAATCTTTGTCTATTTATTGAGGCTACCAGACAGCCCTTTTCATTATTTAGTCAACAACACATTTTGATTAGCCTATGTAATTGTAAAAGAGGGACCTTGAAATCAGCAGAAGGCAAGGCAGGTTGATGTGCTCAGAGTGTAGAAGTCTTGGTGATCCAATGGTGAAAGCGCCATATCATACAAAATATACAAGTAGATTTACCAAATATATACGGGCAATAGCCCAAAAGAAATAGCCTCTGTATCAGGCTTAACCTGTCCAATCTGAACAGACACTGGTTGAGGGCAAGACTGTACAGCCTCCCCTTGAGAAACCAAATCGAATGTCTAACAGGAGCTCAATCAGGTAGGCCTGCAGAATATAAGCACTTGGCCCCCAGGACCATACAATTACCCAATTGGCAATTACAACCAATAAACTGGTTCTGCAATGTAAAAGGCAATTTCCACATCCATTGTTACATTGGTACCTTCGTCTTAATCAGACTTAATGATTATTAATTATATTTCAACACCATGCATACATGGAACAACATTTTCGCTTATTCAACGTTCTGACTCCAAGGGAGATGCTGCGGCTACTGTCTCTGGCTGCGTGGACAGTAATCCATGGAGACTCTGTGCCACAAAATGAGTGACAAAACATTACAAAACCTGGCCTGATCATTTCAAGTGTGTACTGCAGTGTACTGCTGTGTATGTTAATCCCATCCCATTGCAGCAGTGTATAGCTGTAGTTTCACCGCAGTGTGTGTGTTGCGTAGGTGCAGTGCTGTGTTACTAGAGGTGTGTGTGTGTGTGTGTGTAACTCACGGCCAGTAGCCGGCTCTTCTCCTTCTCGGCAGTAGTCTGTGTGTTCTCCAGGGTGGTCCAGTGTTTTTTCGACAGCTCCTCCAGCGCCCGGGTCTGTGACTCTTTGAAGTGGGCGGTGTCGTCCTCGTATTTGGTACGCATGTTCAGCATCTCCTTCTCATACACCTGCTTCTCCTCCCGTAGAGTCTGACGGAACAACACACACAGAGACAACACCATGACTGTCAGCCCTATGTGTTTATCTAAGACGCTTGATTCTAGTTTAATTAAAACCAGCTGTGAGCAGAATGCTAAGCTCATTACTGTCTTATTTACATTTCCTTGGTAATTTGAGTGAGCATCTATTTGAGTCAGTAACACACAGGTAACACATGAACGGCTGTTCTGCTTTTCAGTCTCGCTGTCTGTCTGTCGGTGTTTTGTTGTGGAAAAAAGTGACAGCCTAAAGATGCTTCAAATCCCCTCTGACACATTCTCATTCAAAGATGAAGCTCAAGCAGCCAGCCAAAACGAACGGAGAGGGAGGCCTGTATTATCAAACAAGGAGAGAGAGAGAGAGAGAGAGAGAGAGAGAGAGAGAGAGAGAGAGATGATATAGAGAGAGAGAGAGCAGGAGAACAGAGAGAAGATAGAGAGAGACAACATAGATACACATAGAGAGATAGATGAGACAGAGACGAGATAGAGAGAGAGGATAGGATATAGAGAGAGAAGAGAGAGAGAGAGAGAGAGAATCAGACATACCAGACAGACAACAGATAGACAGACAACAGACAGAACAGAGAAGAGACATAGAGAATAGAGAGAACATAATAGAGAGCGCAATGAGAGAGAGAGAGAGATAGAGAGAGTAGAGAATAGAAACAACAGACAACAGACAGACAGACATACAGACGACAGACAGACAAATACATACAGACAGACAGACAGACAACAGACCGACATACAGACGACAGACAGGACAACAAGACAGAGAGAGAGGACAGAAGCGAGAATACGATAAGAGAGAGAGAATGGAGGAGAGAGAGAGAGAGAGTGCCAGCAGCCCAGTGGATCACTGCACAAAGTACTCACATCTCCGTTCACAGCAAGTTGTCATAGTAACACCTAACTCAAGGCTATGGTAATGACAAACAGAACAGAGATTTCCTGGGAACTGGAGAGGTGAGAACATCGCTCTCAGTTTTTCAGGCTACAGCATTGCAGTGAATGTGGCTGGGGGGAATTGTCATTAAGACACACCAATGTCAACACAACACTCTCCCTATCTTGAGAGCATATTACATATTCAGAACGGCATATGGTGAAAGATTCAACAGTGCATTTTACCATAATGGAAATGCAGAATGGAAAATAGATCATGCTTGACATTTACGGGGGAACTACAGTTTGTCTTCTGAGCAACTGTTCGTAAATAATGTGACCTTTTTGGATGTTCTTTTTAAAAGGTTGGTCAAATTTGACTGGCTCAGCAGCATAACAATTTGTAGTTTTGTGAGTTCAGAGGCAATGCATATTTGAGGGGTCTGTAACTCCTGAGAGCAAGGGGGGACTTCCCAAGGAGCAAACTAAATGCTTAGTCGTAAAATATTTTTGGGTTGTTGTGTACTCTGACATCAATAATTGAAGTGAAATGCTATTTTCCAACCAGAAAGCATGGCTTTGAGCAAAGTGGTGACTGTATTGGAAGAAACGCCCATGGCTAATAGCTGAGATACAACATAAATAATCATTGACTCAAAATGAAGCGAACTGTGACGCAAAATTGATGTCTATTTATACCAAAACCGTAGTCTTTGCTAAATCAAAGTACTCAGCTAAATGTTAACAAAAGTGCTATTTTTTTGTCCAGTAATTTCTCTTTCCAAGATGTTGAGTTTTGTGAATTAAACACGGAGGAGTGGATTTAGGCACTGCAACAGCTGAGGTACCAGTGAAGCCATGAGCACTTTAACCTAATATTTCCTTATTGGAAGAGCTGGTGCAGAATAACAGTCTGTCCTCAAACAACTCTAGGCTCCAGAGAGGCAGACATATAGTTCCCTCCATCCCACTGAAGGCTCACCTTCTCCAGGGATAGAATCTGTTGCCTCTGCCTGTCATCTAGTGCGTGGGTCTTGTTCTGGAGGGCCCCGCGTTCCTCCTCTAGACGCATCACCTTGTCCTTCAGACGAGATTTCTCAGACTCCAGGTCCCGGATGGCTGCCTCGTGGGTCATCTGAGTGGCCTGCAGGCTGCCAATGTGACCTGTCCAGCCAGACAGTGTTATTATACAACAAAAATATAGACTCAACATGCAACAATTTAAAAGATTTGACTGAGTTACAGTTCATATGAGGAAATCAGTCAACTGAAATAAATTCATTAGGCCTTAATCTATGGATTTCACATGACTGGGAATACAGATATGCATCTGTTGGTCAAAGATACCTTAAACAGTGGGCCTCAGGATCTCGTCATGGTATTTTTGTGCATTCAAATTGCCATCGATAAAATGCAATTGTTTTCGTTGTCCGTAGCTTATGCCTGCCCATACCATAACCCCACTGCTACCATGGGGCACTCTGTTCACAATGTTGACATCAGCAAATCTCTCTCCCACACGACACCATACTGATAAAGAAATGTGTGAGTAAGACATTACTAAAATGTCACACCCTCAATTAAACTAATAATGTATGACTAATTAGTAGACTAGAGCTTAGCGAGTTAATCAAATGTATTTATATCACAGCAACAGAGTATTTGTGTCTTGTAATTAGAAAGCAGAAGTGCAAAACGACTGAAACCAATAACAGGAGACTGGTTCCCAAAACACACAGGGAAAGGGGAGTGAAAAAAGGCTTGCAGGATATTGTGAGACCGGCGATAACTAAAGAATGCAGCCTACCTGAGCAAGGAGTAGACTATGATAAGAACATGTGTGTGCGTGTGTGTGTGTGTGTGTGTGTGTGTGTGTGTGTGTGTGTGTGACCTGATGGTCAGGAGAGCAGAGGAAAATCACATGAGCTAAACCCAGGTGTGTGCTTACAAGATGTGTACAGTGGAAAAATACAGCCCTGCCTAAAGCGGGGTGGGATTTTTGTATGACGTGTGTGTATAAAAGATGGACTCTGAAATTGTGATAACAGAATTCTCTGGGCAGAATTCTCTGAATAAAGACGACCTGACTATTTCAGACTGGGAGCTCTGTCCGTTTCTTGATCCAAAAGCCTTACAACCTTTTGGGAGACGCACCGAGACACTGAAATAGTTAGTTAATAAATTATCTTAACACATACACATGGTCTGCGGTTGTGAGGCAGGTTGGATGTACTGCCAAGTTCTCTAAAACGACGTTGGAGGCGGCTTATGGTAGAGAAATTAACATTCAATTCTCTGGCTACAGCTCTGGTGGATATTCCTGCAGTCAGCATGCCAATTGCACGCTCACTCAAAACTTGAGTCATCTGTGGCATTGTGTTGTGTGACAAAACTGCACATTTTAGATTGGCTGTTTATTGTCCCCAGCACAAGGGGTACAGGTGTAATGATCATGCTGTTTAATCAGATTCTTGTTATGCCACACCTGTCAGACGGATGGATTATCTTGGCAAAGGAGAAATGCTCACTAACAGGGATGTAAACAAATTTGTGCACACAATTTGCGAGAAAAAAGCTTTTGATGAAACATGGGAGCAACACTTTACATGTTGCGTTTATCTTTTTGTTCAGTGTAGAATGAGGTTACCCGTTGCAGCAGTATTACCATAGAGTTGACCTGTGTCAATGCACTGTTTAAACATTGATATTTCAGTGAGGCAGTACTTCATATGGTTTAAAGTGTGCTTATCCTTCTGGGACAATGTTTGAGTTGGTCCACACAGGCTCTTTGAATCCCAGCCAGGCACTGCCAGATGAAATACTGATGCAAGACATCACTAGTAAGAGTCTACACTAGCGCTCGCCACAGTATAGACCATAAACAGTGCAGCACGCCTTAAACTAGGCATCATTAATTCGAACACGGCTTTCACATCCTTGGGCTTATGAATACCATTAAAGCAGGGATACACCATTTCACCATTAAACAGTTATGTTACAGCAATTCAGATAAGTCTAAGTAGCCGTGAGGCTACTACTCTTTCTCCAACAAATGCAAAGCTAAGAGGATAGTGTTCCCAGCAGCAGCATCTCTGGGTGTGATGCCAAACATGGACCTGCAGATACAGTACTACACAGCTACACAATAGGCACCACGGAAAATTCCACAGACACAAAGGCAAACATGTTGTTTTCTCTCTGTCCTTGTTGTATATCTTGACCATGGCATGAGAGGCATTTTTGAACCACACCAGATGTTGATGGGCTATGTAAGAGTTAGGTGAGGGTGTAGACGAGCTCTATCCCCATCAGGGTACATTCCAGAGCCAGGGGAGTGAAGAGGTCTCGGAGCAGAGCTGGGGCTAGGCTGCAGAGCACACTGGACCTCTGTTGCTGGGATACCGGGAGGTGATCTGTCACAGCACAATCTCCTGTCAACAGGTACGTTAGCTGGAGCTGGAGCTACCTACCTCCAGTGAATGAAAAGAGAGCCGCGTGACAGATAATTGTGAATAGACAGATGGAAGCCTATATAGGTTTGAGCCTGTGCGCCTGTTATTTTCAGAAGGGCATAAAACCAAATATACTTTTTTATTTTCCTGAAAATAACAGATGCAAAATGGTGCAAAGGCTGGTAAATTTGAACCAACATTATTTCATGACTTGCTGAGATACTGTGTACATAGACTTCAATATTGGTGGGAATCATGTAGGACCAAGAGTGGAGTAGGCCAATATTCACTAGTGTTTTTCAGGTAGTGTAGTACTGTGGGTTGTAACAGAGAGAGGATGAAGGAGGAGAGGAGGGTGCATAGTCTGTCTGTAGGAGGAGGAAAAGAAGAGAGGAGGAGGAGGAAGAGGGGAAGAGAAGGAGAGTGTAGAGTGTACCGGTAGGTTAAGAAGGCTAACAGAGAGGAGGTGGGGAGGAGGGTGGCAGGCTAACTCACTGGCTTTGAGGAGGATCTCTGTGGCCTGCTGCTGCACACGATCTCTGGTGGCCTCCAGCTCACACTCTGCTTCCTTCTGTCGGATCTCCACGATCTCGGCATCTTGCGTCACCTCGTCCAGCTGTTTGCTCAAGTCCTGGAGCACAGACACAGAGCACAGGTTAGCCTACACTTCTGAGGCACAGACACACATAGCACAGGATCAACTCACTGACCTGTGTTCATACACTCTCCCTAAACAAGAAAACAGTATTTATGACTCACTCACTCATACTCTCTAATTATCATTTAACTTTCTCTCTTTCTTTCTCCTTCTCTCTTATCACCATCACTCTCTTTTTTAATTCCTGCATTTGCACTCTCTGTAGAGATAACAGCCACTTTCATTCTTAATTGGAAAGCGTTTACAGCATAGTGCATGTTGTCTACTGCTCTCAGGGACTCCTTCCTTATGAAGTAATACATTGGAATGGCCTTGAAATAGTCAGTTAGCTTTACATTTCCCATGGGAATAAAGCCCATTTACAAGTGGAGTTCTAATTAATATCTTGACTCGTTTGGCGGGTTTTAAACCTTTTTCTGATAAATCTGTATGGAGGAGTTGATGTTTTTTAAATTAATAGATTAAGGGACTATATTTCCTCAAGCAAAAATCCATCTCACTAACGGAATATGAATATCTGGGTGTAAACCACAGAAGTCTTGCCCAAAATCTATTTGAAGATAAGATGGAGTATCTTAAGCGGCAAATGTAGACTAATTTTACAGCCCGGCTTTCATTCCCCAAATTGTCTGCCATTCACTAGGCCTAAATTAAGTCTGCATTCTTTGTAGAGGGACACAAAATGTAGCTACAGTAAAATAAACATCTGGAAGTGAGTGAAACAGGGGGTGCATTTTGCATTGTCTAGTATGGTGTGATTTCCCATTCTGACTGGTCCGTAGGGTGTGATTTCCCTGATGAGCAGGTGCAGGTGTATGTGTAATGAGCTGTTCAGGGAGAGAGGACATGCTTTAATCGCCCTCTCAGTTTGTTTTGTTTCTCTTAATGAAAAATCAAATTGTGGCGGCATGGCTGATATCATCGTGTCACACCTGCCTTCCTGATAAGCAGTAGGCACCCATCTCATACTAAACTGACTGGAAGGGCTCCTGGGAGGTATCCATAAAACACAGTCAGATAAATTAGCTAGCTAGGTCTTTGGTTTACTGAAAGGGAATATCTGTAGTAACCAGTGTTATTAAATGACAATTAAATCATACTGGGATTTTCAGGATTAACACTCTGGTAATTGCCAAAATAAAGGAAACACTTGAGTAAATGAGGGATACTAAAAGCAGGTGCTCCCAAAATAAAGGAAACACTTCCTGAATTAATTAAGCAATTAAAAATCCCATCACGCTTAGAGTCATGTATAAAAAGTTGCCCATTATTTTGGCTACCCATGGCTAGAAGACATCTCAGTGACTTTGAAAGATGGGTTTCAAAGGAGCAAAGGTGGTTTAAAGGGTGTGTGTGGCTCAGTCAACAGAGCTCAACTTAACTGAATACATATAGGACATTCTGGAGCGGCGTTCTGGCGGCTTGTGGTGGCCCAACGCCCTATCAAGACACTTTATGTTGGTGTTTCCTTTATTTTGGCAGTTACCTGTATTAAATGCTTTCTGGGCTAAACGAAAGATTACCGTAATAATACAACATCAATGCTAGCTACATATCTTTATTCTATGAAGTTGACATGTGTATCTCTTTAAGACTAATAGCTTTGGGGCCTTTCATTGGGACATTTAAGCCACAGTGGGGTATCTCCACAGCCTCTATTACCTTGATGTTGCTCTCGGCTGCAGTGAGCGAGGCCTGCAACTTGTGGGACTTCTCCCTGTGTTCCCGTGCCTTCCTCCTGCACCCTCTGCAGCTCGGAGCGCAGCTTCCCCAGGGTCTTCTGCAATGCTGCCTCCTGCATCTGGAACTCCCTCCGCAGCTCTGCCTCAGTCTTCTTCCAGGCCTGCAGGTTGTCTGCGGTGAGCTGCTGCGTGCGCTTCATGGCCTCCAGCTCGCGCTCGTAGAAGGCCTGGGCCTTGTTGAGCTTGGCCTCGTACTCCTCTACCAGCCTCTTCTTGTCCCCCTTCACCTCCTCCACGCGCTCCGACAGGGACTCCACCTCAGCTTTGTGCAGCTGGCCCAGTTTCTCCTGGTCCTTGCTGTAGTTCTGGTTCTGGCTCTGGTGGCTGCGGAGCAGCTCTGACACCTCCTGCCGATGGTTGGCCTTCAGCTCCTCCAGCGCCAGCTTCTTCTCCTGCTCAAACTGGGCCTGCGCCATGCCGAAGGAGCGCAGCTTCTCCTCGAACGAGCGCCGCATCTCCTCCACCTCGCGGGACATGGTGAACCACACGCTGTGTGTGCTGGGCCTCGGTGCACAGCTGCATGTCCTCCACGCGCTGCCGGTAGGTCTCGAACTCGGTGAGGGCCTGGCGTTTCATGCGCTCATGCAGTTCCATGGACTCCTCCAGCGACTGGATGCGCTGCTTCAGGTCCATCTCGTCGCTGATCTTGCCCTTGTACTGCATGATCTTCTCCCGCGTCTCCGACAGGATCTGCTGCACCTCCTCCTCATGTGCCTCCTTCAGTATCTGGATGGCCGCCTCGTGCTCGTCGTTCTTGGTGTTGAGGGCGTAGATCACCTGTGGAGGCAGGAAGAACATTTGAATGGGAGACAGGATAGAACAAACGCCTATCCAATGGCTTTGAACAGGTGCTGGAGATGGAAGTAAATGTCCCTCAGCAAAAACCTGTATGGTGACGTGTTAGCATTCTTCTCAGGTTCAGGAGATAAAAGTAGCCTTAATGTACATCAGCAAGAAAGTTCAAGCTTTGTATGATGATATGTTAGCATTATCCTGAAAATAAAAGGTTTATCTTTACATTAACTGTCTGACTGCAGTGTCAAAGCACTTATGAGACGCATGATTGACAGTTGAGTGAGTGGCTGACCTTTACTCCCAAAAATTACTTCCAACTGAAAGCCCGGATAATCTGACTACAAAGTGATTTTGGGAGAAAAATAGTTTTATATTTACAGTTTAAAAGCCATGAGAAATGTCCCCTAATCTTTCCCCTACTGATACAGGGTGCTGGCTCTGGGCTGCTGCCCTACGGAATAAGGCTATTTGTTTTCTCACCAGATACACACAGTCAATAATTCACCACGTTGAACAGTTGAATACTTTTGATAATCCTTGTTTACTTAGTACAAAAGCCTGTCATCAGAATAAGATAGAGAAGAAACTGAAAATAAAATGCCTTTTTCAGATAATGATATCCATATTTTATACACCAGGGTGAAAACATGGGATGGACTATGAAGTTCTTAAATGTTGCCAACTTGCCAGTGTTTTTGATATGCTAAAATGCTTATAAAATGTTAACTTTCAAACAGACTTCTTTTGTTATCACTATTCAGATTGTCTGTTACAGCTCTCCATCAAATGAGAGCAAATGCAACACATTGTACCCAACCAGGTAGGACAACATTTTTATCAAAGGTTTATTCAAGAAAAGACAAAACCACCAGGGATTTCTGGTTTCCTATTGTAACCTCCCCTGCAATCCTTCAATCGCATTCTCATTTCTCAAAGGAGATAAGAGGCCTATGCAGCAGGATCTCAGCTCAATACCCATTATAAACCTTAGGCCTAATCATATCCATCCTTTAGATAAAATAATAATGCCCTTGTTGAAAGGCATTCTGTGGGAATGAAAGGACCCCAGCTCGTGAAGTTTCTCACGAGCGATAAAGGGCTGAGTCAGAATTCATTTCCATAATTGTTTTGACAAATGATTACGGGAGAAAGCTAAAAGTTCTCTGCCTATCTGGTGTTAGTGCGGCAATCTAGCCAGCCACATGTGAAGAGAGAGAGAGAGAGAGAGAGAGAGAGAGAGAGAGAGAGAGAGAGAGAGAGAGAGAGAGAGAGAGAGAGAGAGAGAGAGAGAGAGAGAGAGACAGAGAGAGAGAGACAGAGAGGAGAGAGAGAGAGAGAGAGAGAGAGAGAGAGAGAGAGAGAGAGACACACACAGAGAGACACAGAGAGACACAGAGAGAGAGACTGTGTCTGCGGTCCCATGGTCTCAGTGGGTGAGATGGCTTTGGCAGAGAAGCGTGCAGTGGTGTCATCATTCCATAATGGATTCTCCCCTCCATTTGACCTGAGAGGAACCCAGGACTACCTCCCATATAGCCTCCATCCATTCTCTCTCTCTCACGCAGCCTGGCAGGCGCAGCACCGTCAGCTCCTGCAGCACGGACCCTACAGCCATGTAGTATAGCCAAGGGCTTGGGAATGAGCTTACTCAGCATTCTTCCAGGATTCTCTTTAAAAAAGAGAGAGAGAGATGAACTGACTTAGGCGTATGTGTTTTGTTTAAAATAGAACGCAAACGAAATGCACTGACAATAGTAAAAAATATTCAAGTCAAAGTTATGTATTGATTGCAGACTCAAAGTATTGCTGCTGCCTGTCATTTTATTTTTCTTTCATCACAAGTCTAGCCGTTTCCCAAAACCCATATCCTCCCTCTTTAAAAGGCTTACCCTCTGCTCCCTAACCATTATCTTAGGCTCCATGTGTTATTACCATCATCCATCCCCACCTCCCTAGGTTAGGTCAATGTGTGGTTCTTTTGGATGAGATGTTTACATAGTGACAGTGACTGGGCTAATTAATAAGACAGCACTAAAAAAGCACAGAGCAGTACAAAATGGTTTGTTTTTTTACAATGCATTGTGAATGCTGAATCAGTGATTGCAGATGGATGCATTCATCACTGACGGGAAGAACCCAATATAACACTGGCTGCTTAGTAGTCAGCCTGAAACATGAGCTGAAAGACCCAAGAGTTGGCCTAGACCTACTTACCGCTAGCTACGAATATGTTTGCTAAATGTATCAGTCTTAACATTAAGCTCCAATAACTGCTAAAAAAAGGTGAGCCTTATTCATGTTCCCAGAATGGTTTGAGGATGCTGAAGAGAGAGAAGAAAGGCCCTTAGATCGCAAAAGGTAAAGACATCTCAAGGCAACGCTGGTCTCTGGGTTAAGGTTCCAGAGCAAACTACTCAGTATTGCCCATCTCTCAGACTCTGGAATACAGAATTCAGATACACAAAGGAGTATGGATCTGAATTATTGACATAAATTAATGATGACCAGTAATACCAGGTAGCAAGATTTAGATATGGAAGTGAACCGCGGGTGTCAAACTCAAAGCCCCCTGTTTGTGGATGTTAATCTTTGGGCTGAAGCCAGCATGTTTAGCACATAAAGAGGCATAATCTGCCCCAAAAGGGGAGGGCTCAGGTCTGAGAAATCCAATGCTTTTCCTCCTCTCCTGGCACTGGTGATTTAATCACTCCTACTGCCCAGTGCAGGGGTCATTACTAATGTCTGAACATCAGCAAATAAGACGTTCATGATAGCGATTATCACCGCCATTTGCAGAGGAGTGCGGAAGGGTAACATATTGTTCAGTACAATGGGGAGCTCGGTAAACAGGGACAAATTATAAAACGCAACATGTAAAGTATTGCTCTCATGTTTCATGAGCTGAAATAAAAGATCCCAGAAATGTTCCACATGCACAAAAAGCTTATTTCTCTCAAATTTTGTGCACACATTTTTTTTTACATCCCTGATAGTGAGCATTTCTCCATTGTCAAAATAATCCATCCACCTGACAGGTGTGGGATATCAAGAAGCTGATTAAACAGCATGATCATTACACAGGTGCTCCTTGTGCTGGGGATAATAAAAGGCCACTCTAAAATGTGCAGTTTTGTCACACAACACAATGCCACAAATGTCTCATATTTGGGCTAGCGTGCAATTGGCAAGCTGACTGTAGGAATGTCCACCAGAGCTGTTGCCAAAGAATTGAATGTTCATTTCTCTACCATAAGCCACCTCCAACGTCGTTTTAGAGATTTTGGCAGTACGGCCAACCGGCCTCACAACCGCAGACCACGTGTAACCACGCCAGCCCAGGACCTCCACATCCGGCTTCTTAACCTGCAGGATGGTCTGAGACGAGCCAGCCGGACAGCTGATGAAACTGTGGGTTTGCACAACCGAATAATTTCTGCACAAACTGTCACAATTCCTGGAAGCTGAAAATGTCCCCGTTTTTCCATGGCCTGCATTCTCACCAGACATGTCACCCATTGAGCATATTTGGGATGCTCTGGATAGACATGTACGACAGCGTGTTCCAGTTCCCGCCAATATCCAGCAACTTCGCACAGCCATAGAAGAACAGTGGGACAACATTCCACAGGCCACAATCAACAGCCTGAGCAAAGCAAAGGAGATGTGTCGCGCTGCATGAGGCAAATGGTGGTCACCCCAGATACTGACTGTTTTTAAGGTATCTGTGACCAACAGATGCATATCTGTATTCCCAGTCATGTGAAATCCATAGTTTAGGGCCTAATGAATTTATTTCAATTGACTGTTCAATTTAATTTATTATATGAACTGTAACTCACTAAAATCTTTGAAATTGTTGCATATATTTTTGTTCAGTGTAGCTTTGAGCGGTGGTAACTGCCTTTGTGAGGCTGCAATCACATTCTACTCTCCATGCTGGAGATCAAAATGGGGGACGGTTATGTCTTTTCAGTCTCAAAGTACAGCCCTGCAGAGTGCCTGTCTGCCATCAATGCCTCGGTCATGCCATTGACTGTATCCCACTATAATAGGCTGCAGTTGAAGCCAACATAAAAGCCAACCTAGCTCATGTGACTTTAGAGAGTGTTTCCAGTTTTGTCAACCTAATTCCTGACTTGTATTCACTATTCAGTATTAGTTGGACTAAGTCACGTACAAATATACCGCATCAACCACCTCAGAGGCTCCTTAAAGAAGTGAGATGCTGATTCGCAAAGCTACTGAATATGCATTAAGTCGAAAGATAGTGCTAATTAGAGTCATTATAGGCACAGTTTCCACTAAACTGCAAGGTGCACCTTAATCCAGGAGGTAATTAAGGCAGATAAGGGGGTAGGACTGGGCCAGCTCTGTAAACTGTGCTTTGTTTCATGCAGAGGGAACACTGACTGGAACTTTGCTATGCTGAGCAGATTCTCCAGCAGTGTGACACCAAAACTTCCCCCACTGCAGCATTTACATGGCCTGATTGTGAAGTTTATTTTAAAAGCCTGACTTAGCAGTACATAATATATTATTTTTCCCATGGTTTGGCGTACCTTAAAGGTGCAATAAGCAGAAATCACTCCTCCATTTCCTGGTTGATGAAATTATAATAGTTTGCCTAATTTCAGTTTATGTGACAAAACAAGCAGTGTAGAGAATCATTGTACCATCTAAACCGCTGTGAAATATATTTTCAATAACCTAAAATATTGTTTTTCAGCTGTTTGAACCTGGTGTACAAAACCGAAAGTAAAAGATGCAAAAACTAAACTTAAGAATAGGGAAGCAAAGAAATACTGCACATAGACTTGCTTTCAATGAGAATGACAGATCTATAACTCAAATTTCTATGTGAATTTGGTCGGGTCGCCAAAAAAGCTTCATATTGCAGCTTTAAGCCTCTCATAGACAGAATATTATGGTTTACGTAAATAGGCATTAGTAACTTAACAGTCTTTACACAAGTCATTTTGTGATCTTATCTAAGGCAGGTTTGATTGGTTGTGGCCCTTAAGTAATAGATGGGCGTGTGAAAGGAGGCCTTCACGAGGTGCCTGCCATCTCTATCTAGAAGGGGGGTTGAGTATGAGAGTGGATGTATGTTCATCCTTTATTCTATACTGGTCAGTATCATAATTAGGGCTGTTACGGTGATCATATTACCGCCACACCGGCGGTAACTAGTCATGACTGCAGTCAAATTCCACGTGACCATGTAGTCACGGTAACTAGGCTTCTCCAAAACTGCGTTCTGATGCTTCTTATGGTCATTAGTAGCCTACCAAACATGCTAACTGCTAGTCACTAATGGCCTGGTACTCAGCACTCTATTGTCCCTCTAATCACTCTGACAGCAATGCAAATGTGATAAAAAATCAAATCAAACCCTTCATGAGAGCCCATGAACTCATGTTGTGCAACATTTTTATGGGCTATGCAATTGCGTGAGAAAACATAGTTTTGATGGCCTCTATTAAAAAGAGGAGACTCCCATCAGCTTTCTATAGGCTAGGCTTACAATATTTATGTCTCAACTTTCCTAATATTAAGCACATTGCTTCTCTTTACAACAGGAGTACAGCCTGCCTGGCTGGCATGAAAATTAACCACGGGAAAAGCGTCCTACATTCACAAGTGCATAGATGCAGTGGCGGCTCCTGAAAAAATTCTCAGGAGGGGCAATTTTTCTGATGATTTAGGTGACCTACACACATTTAAAAAAAGATATGTCCAGCAACAACATGAAGACAGGGGCAGCATATAAGTCAATACCAGAAGCATTTATTGACTGATCTCAAAAGTGTTGGCTTACCAGGGTTGGTGGAGCCCTCAGTTTCATCTTTGCCTCGCAAAGCTAACTCAAACACTCCGCAAAACTTCACACACTGGATTAGCCGGCTGAGGATGTGGCGGTTCTTGCTAATGTCGTAGTAAATATATTTGTTATAGTGAATATGGAATATGATATGTTGAGTAAAATGTTGTGCTAAGATCTATTTAGGTCAGGAGCTGGTTATAAGTTCTGTTCCTATCCAATAACAATGGACAAAAGGGTCCTATCTTGTCAGCCTTGTCAGCAGGTGGCCAAGGACAACACCCACGCCATAGGCCTCTCAGTTCTTCCAACTCACGAGTTCTTGCTCTGAGGACACACACACACACAAACACACACACACACACATCATCACTGTTAAACACACACACACACACACATCATCACTGTTAAACACACACACACACACACACACACACAAAAATCCCCTCTCTTAGGCTGAACATTTGAAGACAGAGAACCCGACTCAGAGCCAATGCAACAGTGACAGTAGCCTGGAGGGGACCTCGCCCAACTCATCAGGACCAATCAGAAGATCAGAACTACTAGATTCAACCTACTTCATTTATTGCATAAAATGTCTGCACACAATGTTTCGGGGCTCTCTTCAGATAATAATAATAATAATAATAATAATATGCCATTTAGCAGACGCTTTTATCCAAAGCGACTTACAGTCATGCGTGCATACATTTTTGTGTATGGGTGGTCCCGGGGATCGAACCCACTACCTTGGCGTTACAAGCACCATGCTCTACCAGCTGAGCTACAGAAAG